CCGATCACCACCACCACCACCACCACTACCGCCAGCGCCACCATCACCGTCATCATCACCTCCTCCTCCTCATCATCAGCATCATCACCATCATCATCATCATCATCATCATCATCATCATCATCAGCATCATCATCAACAACAGCATCAGCATCAGCGTCAGCATCATCATCGTCGTCATCATCATCATCACCACCACCACCACCATCATCATCATCAGCGACATCATCATCAGGCAGCATCAGCATCATCATCAGCATCAGCATCTTCATCAGCATGATCATCATCATCATCATCATCATCATCAGCAGCATCATCATCATCAGCATCATCATCATCATCATCATCGGCATCATCCTCATCATCAGCATCATGATCATCATCATCAGCATCATCATAATCAGTGCCACCATCATCATCAGCAGCATCACCATCAGCATCATCAGCATGATCCTCCTCATCATCGGCATCACCACCATCATCATCATCAGCAGCATAAGCATCAGCATCAGCATCAGCATCAGCATCAGCACCATCATCATCATCAGCATCATGCTAATCAGCGACTGCATCAGCATCAGCAGCATCATCATCCTCATCCTCATCATCACCACCGTCATCATCGTTAGTGGCATCTTCATCACCATGACCACGGCCATCATTATCAGCATCATCACGCACATCATACTATCAGCATCATCAGCACCATCATCATTATCATCCGAATCATTATCATCATGGTCATCATAGTCATCAACATCGTCATCGTCATCATCAGCAGCATCAGCATCAGCAACTTCATCACCATCATCGACTGCATCAGCATCAACGTCATCATCAGCAACTGTATCATCATCATCATCATCATCATCATCATCATCATCATCATCATCATGATCATCATCAGCAGCATCATCATCATCATCATCAGTATCAGCAGCACCAGCAGCAGCATCATCATCGACAGTATCATCATCAACATCATCATCATCATCATCATCATCATCATCATCATCATCATCATCATCATCATCATCATCGCCATCGTCATCGTCATCGTCATCGTCATCGTCAGCAGCAGCATCCGCATCAGCATCAGCATCAGCATCGGCATCAACATCAGCATCAGCGCCATGACCTGGCCCGGTGGAGGTACTACGGCCCTGTGGGGACGTGGAGCGGGATGCTGATCAAGAAAATGACGAGACTCAGTCTGAAATGTGACACGAGCTCCCGCTGCAAACATCCCACGAAAACAGGACCCTCTAAACTCAGGACAGGACCGTCAAAAAGTGTCGGCAAACCCGAGTTCCGGCGAACTCCAGTCGTACGTTTCCCATCTTCAGGGCTCCAATCGGGCTCCACATCGAACCACATATCCGTATCCGCGGCCTCGTGGGCTGGGCCCCTGGGCCGCGACGCCGCGGATCCGTGGCGTTTCCTCGCGGATGCCCCGCGCGGAACGTATCCGTACGACCGCGTCTCCGCGGGATCCCGCCCCAGAATGCAGACCGCGAGGGTGCGGATACGGATGTTTGCGTCGCACGTGACCCTGAGGGCCCTCCCCCTCCTCCACCTCCTCCTCCTCCGGCTGAAAAGAGAGGAAAGCGGGCAAGACGCGAGCAAGGGACAAGAAAGGGCGGACAAGAAGCGAAGGGGAGAGGAAGAGGACAGTCCGTCAACGACTCCAGTGGCTCCTCCTCCTCCTCCTCCTCCTCCTCCTCCTCCTCCTCCTCCTCCTCCTCCTCCTCCTCCTCCTCCTCCTCCTCCTCCTCCTCCTCCTCCTCCTCCTCCTCCCCCAGGAGGAGGCGGACGCGCCGGGCGCCCAGGCTCCGGGTCGGGCCACAGGCTGAAGTCCCTGCAGGTCGTGTTGGGGAGCGGCGGGGGCGGGGCGATGGTCGGCGCGGGCGTCGGCCCCACCGTCTGCGGGCGAGGGGAGGCGCGGGCTCCGGCCCCGCGGGGGCCTGGAAGGGGGAGCAGGGGCTCCTCGAACCTCCTCCCCCCCCCCTTGCATCCTCCTCCCCCTTGCATCCTCCTCCTCCTCCTCCTCCTCCTCCTCCTCCTCCTCCGCCTCCTCCATCTCCATCTCCCTCTTCCCTTCTCCCTGTCCCCTTCTCCTCGATCCTGCTCATGGTCCTTCGAGTCCTCTCCCTTCTGAATAACTCGTCCCTGTCGCACCCCGAGGCCAGTCGGAAGGGCGGACCGGGCCTTTCGCCTTAGTTTTTCTTACCATGTATAATCCTGAAGCTTAAAGTTGGCAAAAGTTTCACCGATGGAGGGCGGGCCGCTTCCAAAATGTGTTTCTCTCCTTAGCGTCTCGCAGATTCGTCTGAAAAATGTGAAAGAACTTCATGGATGGAGGGCGGTCGTTTTCAAAGTGCGGCTCTCGCCTCAGTGCCGCGTATATTCATTTTGAAAAACTGCAAGAGGTTCACGAATTGAGGAAGAGTCGTGTTCAAAATGCGGTTCTCGCCTTAGCGCCGCGCACACTCGTCTTAAAAACTGCACGAGCTTCAGGAATGGAGGGCGGGTCGTGTTGAAAAAGGCGGCTCTCGCCTTAGCACCGTGTTCAACCGTCTGAAATAATGCACACAAGTTTCACGAATTGAGGGCGGGTCGTTTACACAATGTGGCTCTCGCCTTAGCGCCGCGCACATTCGTCTTAATAACTTGCAAGAGCTTCACGGGTTGAGGGCGGCTGCTTTTCAAAAAGTGGATCTAGTCTTAGCGCCGCAAACCAGGAATGTTGTTTTGGCACGATTCGGGATCGTTTAGGCACGATAAAGGATCGTTTAGATACAACATTCAAATTGATACCTGGCGTTGCAGTTCCGAGAATTGGGTTTCGGCACGCTGCAGGATCTTCCAACGGTTGTCTTCGAACGGGGCACTTCCCTGGGTGGAACTGAATACTTGTAGTGACCCATGAAGGGGAAGCTTGGAGGGAGAGTTTATCCCAACATCGGTGATGAGTCTTGGGTTTACACTGATCGTCGTCGTCGTCGTCCTCCTCCTTCTCCTCCTCCTCCTCTTCCTGCTGCCCTGACATGGTTCGCCGAGCTGCGGCAGTTTTCGTGCGAAGGTGGGCACCTGTTTGCGTGAGCCAGCGTCTGCACGGCAAGAAAGGGCTGGACACACGCCCTGTTCCTGGCCCAGGCCCGACCCCGACCCCCCACCACGCGTCAATCCGGCTCAACACCCTCACGCCCTGGAGCCTTTCTTCTTGGCGCCACCCGACACTTCCCGGCCCGGACCCGACCCCGACCACCCCCCGCGCCTCCACGTGGCCCGATCCACACCCCCCACCTGACAACTCCTGGCCCAGACCCGACCCCGACCCCCCACCACGCCTCCACGTGCCCCGATCCCCCCAAGTCCAATGATCTCTGCAGTGTTTGGAGCCCACAACCTGGCAATTTTTGGCCTGGACCCGAACCCGACCCCCACCATGCCTCCACAGTGCCTGGCCCCCATCACGCCCTCGAGCCTCCGAGCGCCACCCGACAATGTCTGGTCCATACCCGACCCTGCTCCCCCACCACTCTTCCGCCTGGCCCGCCCCAATCACCCCCTGGTGCATGTCGTGACCCGCCGCCCTGCACCGCGCTGGCCTGGACCCGACCCCGACCCCCCACCACGCCTCCACCTGACCCGATCCCTCACGCCCTGGGACCCCTGCGCTTGGGACCCTACCCAGACTCCAGACCCGACCCCGACCCCCTACCACGCCTCCACTTGGCCCGACCCCCCCAATGCCTGGGATTTTTGTTGTGCGGATCCTCGCTCGACAACTGGACCCGACCCCGACGCCCCCCCCCAACACGCTTCCACCTGGCCCGACGCCCTCGCGTCATGGGATTTCCGTTCGTGGCACCCACCACCTGACAATTCCTAACGTGGACCCGACACCAACCCCCACCACGCCTCCACCAGGCCCGACGCCTCACGCCTCATCTCTGCGCTCGGGACCCACCACCCGACAATTTCTGGCCAAGACCCGACCCCGACCCCCCACCACGCGTCCATCTGGCCCGATCCCTTGGCGCCCTGGGTTTCTGTTCTTGGGACCCACCACCCGACAATTCCCGGCCCGGACCCAACCTCAACCCCCCGCCGCGCCTCCGTCTGGCCCGACCCACTCACGCCCTGAGACCTTTGTTCTTAGAACCCCTCGCTCGACAATTCCCGGCCAGGACCCGACCCCGACCCCCAACCACGGCTCCACCTGGCCCGACACGCATCGCGCCCTGGGACCTCCGTGCTTGGGATGTTAACCACCCGAGAATTCCTGGCCCGGATCCGACCCCGACACCCCCCCACGCCCCCACATGGCCCGACCCGTATCACGCCCTGGGACCTGTTCTTGCAATGATCTCCCCACCCGACTAGTCCCAGCACGGAACCAGCCCCGACCCTCCAACAAATCGACCTGGACCCTCCAGCATGTCGTCACCACTCCTCCACTTTGCCCGACCCCCGCACGCACAATGAAGCATATCCTTGGGACCCACCACCTGGCCCAGGACCGTCCCCGACCCTCCACCGAGCCTCCACCTGACACGACCCCCTCGATCACGCCTTGGTACCTTTGTTCTTTGGACACACCACCCAACAATCGGCGGCCCGGACCCGATCCTCCCTACCCCCCACCACGCCTCAACATAGCCCAGCCCCCCGCGCCCTGTGTTGTCCGCTCTTGAGCCTTATCCCAGACCCGACCCCGACCCTCCACCACGCCTCCACCTGGCCGACCCCCCCCGCGCTATTGGACCTTTGTTTTGGGGGCCCACCACATGACAACTCCTGGCCGTAGTACCTCCGCTCATGGGGCCCAAAAACCGACCACCTCGTGCCCTCTCTCAACACTACCTGGAAAGGAACCGACCAGCGCCCGGGGCCGCGGCCCGGCACGCCCACCCCCTGTTCCTGCCTTTTTGGGATTCCCCACTCGACAATTCCTGACCCGACGCCATCCAACGCCACCGTCCGCGCCCCGGCATCCCCACTCCCTGGCCGTCTGTTTCATGGGACCCCCCCACTCAACATTGCCTTGCCCGACACCAACCAAGGCCGTGCCCCCGCGCCCCGGCGCGCCCGCCCCCCGGCCCACTGATTCCTGGGATCCTTCACTCAGCAGTTCCTGGCCCGAAACCGACCAGCGCCCCCCCCCGCGCCCCGGCGCCCCCACCCCCCGCCCCTCTACTTCTCGGGGCCCCCCACTCGACAAGTACCGGCCCGGCCCAGAACCGAACGGCGTCCCGCCCCCCCCGCAGACCTCGACAGAGTTCCCCGCGGATCCCAGAGGGCCCATCAAGCCGTAACGAGGCGCCCCGCAAAACCCTGCGGCCCAAATCGCAGACCACGCCCCCAGCGCAACCGCATCCATAGTCCATTCTCCGTGGATCTGAAGACGGCGCCGGGGGGGAGCGATCAAACGACTTGCGCCGATTTGAGCGCAAATCATTGCTGCGACGCGAGCCGATGCCCGCGTGAAACGGGACCCGTCGCTGATCCGCGCGCCTTGACTCACCCCTCCGCTTCCTCGAACGGCATCGGCCGACCCCTGCCGCCCCAGAATCTGGCAGCTGCCAGCCCGCACCAGAAGAAAAGTGCGAATTGCGCGCGCGCCGACCCTGCCCAGTCCGCGCGCAACGACGCCCATCTGCCGCCGCCGCGCGGCATCCAGGCCGAGGCGTGAGGCGGCGGCTGGGTCGACCAGAAAGCAGACCAGAAGGAATTGTCCCTCCCCCCTCCCTTCCCGCCCCCGCACTCCCCCTCCCTGTCGTTGCCTCTTTAGCCTTTGACTGTGCTCGCGCGACACACCCATCGTTGCTCTCTACTGTCCGCCCTGCCCAGGCCCACCCCGAGCCAGGGATCGGCGCCGCGCGCCATCCCGCCTGAGCCCGGGAGAGCGTGCGTGAAAAAATAAGAGTACGAACGCCGCCCAGGGAAGCCCATCAGCGCGTCGCCGCGGAAGGAAGAAGCACGTCTTCGGACAAAAGCAACGGAATAACGCGCCGACGGACTCCCAGCGGCTGGCACGTCATTGGCCCCGTTTCTTCCCTCCCCGCATCTGCACAGATCCCGGTCGCGGAAGGCACCGCCAGGATCGGTGCAGATGCCCAGTTCTTAGAACACCAAGTCGAATCCCCCTGGAGCAACTCGCTCCACTCGTGCGTCGTCGCCGCATCGAGCGCCCGTCGATTGGAGCCGAACTTGACTCGAGCTGGAGTCGAGCTAGTCGAATTAGGCGCCCCCAAGGAGCGCGCCCATACTTTGGGGGCGGCTGAGAAAATCGGATCCCGGACCCCTCCAGGGGCCCGGAACCAGCCCCCCTTCCTCAGCTCTTCCTTAGCCAAGATACTGGATCCACAGACAAATCGCAATACCAAAAAATGCGGCTTCTCTTCCTTCTCCACTGAAACGCACCGACCTGCGCTGAACGACATGCAAGATTAGCTCCGACACCACCGCCCGCCCCGAATCGTGCCTCGCGCGTTGACGCTGCAGTGCGCAACGCGGACGGACTACGCGCTGTCCTTGTAGGGCGACGCAATCTATACATATCCACTGCTCCCTGGCCAGGCCCATCCTGAACACAGCAGCTGTGTATACGCCACGCCCTCCTGGTTTGGCCAGGAGGGCGTATACACAGCTCCTGGGTTCAGGATGGGCCTGGCCAGGGAGCAGTGGATATGTATAGATTGCGTCGCCCGATCCTTGGTGAGTCGCAAACTTGTTGCGCGTGCGTCATCCCCCCCGCGCGCGTGCAAGCGGCGCGCGCCGGGTCCATCTCGCGCCGCCGGCAAGCGCGCGCGCCTGCCCCGGCGCGCGTGCGCGCCTCGCGCCTCGCCTGCAGCGGAGGCGCGCGCGGCGGCATCGGCGCGCGCCAATCCCGCCGCGCGCCATCCGCGCGCGCAAGCATCAATGCGCGCGCGGAATTCCAGCGCAGGCGCGAGCCTTCCAGGCGCGCGGAACGCGCGACGACAAATCGCCCGAACAAACCGCGCAACAAATTCACCCGTGGTCAGCATTGCCTCTGAATTTACGATGCGAACGGCGCTTCCGTAATTGATGTTGCACGTTTTCCAACAAATTGAATCCTCGCCACTTCGAGTTTTGTCGCGGCTCTGCGCCAACGGCGGATTTTGTCGTCCGCCGCCGATTTTTGGTCGTTCGCAATCGTGTTTGCTGGTCGTCTGGAAATATCGTCGGCAGTTTTTGTCGTCGGCCATTTATAATTTTGTCGTTGGCCCATTGTGCTGGTCGTCTTTTCTTTGCCGTCTTCTCGGTGCCCCGCATTGTCGGATTTTTACTCGGGCTCGTCGACATTTGAGGGGTCCTTCGCGGCCGGATCCATCGTCCATACCTCTCTCGCTTCGCGCGTCCCCAGCACCCCGTCTGGAATCGATACCCCGGCGTTGCTCAAGGAAGTTCGATTCTTGGTCCTCGCCCACCCGCTTAAGAGACCGCGCATAACCACTGGGGAGGGGCTTCACGCTAACAGCGCTTGAGACGCGTGACGGGCGCGGCGGCTTCATTCGTAAAAAAACAGACCCATTCAATACATGTGTTGTGTCGTTCGTCGTTTTGTGATCCTATGGGAACTGAGGAAGTGACCTTTCTGGTCGCAAAAACCACTGCTGGGCCACCCCAGACCCCGAACTGAGTGCAAGACCCTCGTGCCAGCTGAATCACGAGGCAGTCCACGAGTGCCGAGCGGTTACCAGGGAGCAAGAATTCTCAAAGGCGGAGAGCCAAACGTAAGAGTACCCCTGGAAGGCGAAGGCTGTTCTGGACCGTCGTGCCAGCTGCTCAGACCAGATCCCCAGCCGGCTTCAACTCTGCCTAAGGAAGAAGAGAAGGAGGAGGAGGAGGACGACGAGGACGAGGACGAGGAGGGTAGGATTCATCAACGATGTTACGGTAAACCCTCCCCCCAAGTTCCCTTTCCATAGGCTCCTTTAAGGATATATCTTCACTGCGCGAAGAGGCCCGTTGGAAGGCAACCGTCTGAATCAACGTAACTGTCGCAATCGCCACGACGACTCAGGATGAAAAACCCGTACGGAGCAATGAACACCCCACGGGCCCACTTTGGGGTCGGCGGCAGAGGCGGCAGCCTTGAAATATAGTTTGAATATCGCGTTGCAGGAGCATGCGCCGGAATGCCCAAGTTGGTCCAGAAGCAACAATGTAGCCCGACCAAGGGGCATGCGAAGGAGGCATCGCCCTGCAAACCACGCCTGGGAACGGCTAGGTCAGGTTTTCCAACTGGATGGTGAGAAAGAGAACGGGCAGGAAGGGAGGGTGGGAGAACGGGAGAGAGGAGCACGCTGGTCAACAACAAGGCGGTTCTCCGCACACGAGCACCCCTGCGCTCAGCTGCGGGCCACCTCCGCGCACCGACGGGAGCGCGCGGGCGCGAACCAAAACGAGCGCAGCCCAACATCGTCAGAGCGCCCCCGCTGGGCCTCCCTTCCCTTCGGACGGGGCGCGCCTCGATGTTCGCGCAGCCGCAAATCATGCTGTGGGAGTTCGGCTGGATCAGCTTCATGTTGTCCGTGCAGGTCACCTCCTTTTGGCGCCGCGCAGAAGTGCGCGGGGCGAGGAGGAGCGAACGTCCACGGCCCCACCCCGCTGCTCAGAAGCCGTGTCCAGGGGGACGGCCTTCTGAGAAGGCCCCCCCGCACTCCGCTTCTTGGAAGCGCGCTGGTCCGCCGAGAAACCTCCTCCCAAAAGGCGCCGACCGCTGCCGAGAGGCCCCCCCCCAATGCCTTCTCAGAGGCTGCCTCCCTCGCCCACCCCTCGACCAACATGCCGCAGAGGCAGCCCCTGCCCCCGTCCACGAGCGGCGAAGATGCATCCGCACCCGCGCCCTCGCGGCCTGGACTCTGGGGCGCGATGCCGCGAATACGCGGTCTGCGCGGAGCCTCCGCGAAAAAACGCATCATGTCCGCGGGTCGGAGACGCCTTGGCCCAGGCCAAGGCAAGCCCCGGAGAGTCAAGCTCTGCAGGATCCTGCAAGATTCTGCGCGCAAGCCCGGTTCAGTGTACCCCTGTCTCGGCAGGATCCTGCAAGACCTGGCGCTCTGGCTGGCCCCGTTTGCACTGAGCCCCGTCCCTTCCAGCTCGAGCGGGGTTGCGACCCAAGGTCCCAGCCCGCGAGGCCGCGGATCCTTCAATGTGCTCCCAGCTTGTCGCGCCGTTGGGGGGCCTCTGGGGCCCTCTGGCCCCATGAGGGGTGCTCCGCCAGGGGTCGCCAGAAGTGCATGGGTCGGGCGTTGGTGGAAGGTGATCCCAGCTGTTCGCGCCATCGGGGGGCCTCTGGGGCCCCCTGATTCTCTGGAAGCCAACTCTGCATACATGGGAAAGCTGGGGTCACTTTGGGACAGGGCCACTTCTTGGGCCAGGGCACCTGGGGGTCCCAGAAGCCCCCAAAGGCTCCTGCAGGCCAAAAAGGCCTCTGTGCCCACCCCCTGACGACAACAGCGACGACGACGACGACGACGACGACGACGACGCCGACGACGACGACGACGACGACGACGACGACGACGGCGGCTGCGGCGGCGGCGACAGCGACGGCGACGACGCCCACCAGGCCCCGACGACGACAGCGACAAGGACAACGACGACGACGACGATTCTTGAGACGAAGACAAGACGCGGACATATGCGGATGATGATAAATCGGGGATATCTGAGAGGTGGCGGGTACGGATGATGCATCGGGTGCAGCGGCCGATTCAGAGCGAGCTGTCCGCAGCGCTCTGATAGCGTTCTAGAACGCTCTGGAGCAAATTATACCCATCCGAGGGCTGCCAGCAGCGGCAGGCACTACACGCGTTCGTCAAGGAGCCTCGTCGAAAGCATGGGCAACCAGAGCCTCTGGATAAATGTACCCGCCAGTCAAAAGAAGCAAGTACGTGGAAGCATGAAGTAGGAAGGCGGGTCGCGTAGGTTGGGTTCGTGTTCAACAAATGACCCTGACGATGTACTCAACCCTTGCGCAACGCATGGCCACAATGTCTGGAAAGAGTTTAGAGCAAGTGGTAACGCGGCAAAGAGTAATATGTTGTCCGAACCGCATTAAAGGGGATCGCGAGGTGCGCGAGTCGTGGGACACCAGTCAATGGGCAAGGGCTTGAGCGAGTGATTCCTTAGGTCCCTAAGTCAAGAATAAAGCGGGGCGAGGACAAAGAGGAGAAAGCGGGCAGGAAGCTTGAACGTCAGCGGGGCAGCGCAGCACCGCACTAAGCTGTCCCCCATCAGCAACCCTCGACCATGGCGACTGTTTTGCCAATCGCAGCCCTCCAGAGATGGCGAGGCCCCGCTCTGATATGACTCTGCCCTCCCCCACCTTGAACAGCCCTCGAGAGTGGCGACAGCTTCGAAGTTTGCAGCACCCCAAGGGTGGCGAGGTTCTGCTCCGATCTGCGCAACACTGCAGGAAGCTCCCCCCCAGCAGCCCTCGAAAATGGCGACCGTTCCGCAGATCGCAGACCCCCAGGGACGGCGAGGTCCAATCTGGATCTGCGGCGAATGCCCACTATGCTGGTTCCCCCACGCAGCCCTCGGATTGCAAGGTCTAATCTGAATATGCGGCGAATGCCCACCATGCTGCCCCCCCCTCCCCCAGCATCCCTCGAAAGTGGCGACGGTTCCCCAGATATCAGCCCCCAATGGATGGCGAGGTTTACTATGGATCTGCGGCGGGTACCCGCCATGCTGCCCCCCCCCCCCCAACAATCCTCGGAAGCGGCGACAGTTTCGCAGATCTCACTCCCCCAGGGATGGCGAGGCTGAAATATGCGGCGACAGTTTCGCAGGTCGCAACCCCCAGGGATGGCGAAGTAAAATCTGAATCTGCGGCGGCTAGCCACTATGCTGCCCCCCAACACCCTCGGAAGTGGCGAAAGTTTCGCAGATCGCAACCTCCCAGGGGTGGCGAAGTCAAATCTGAATCTGCGGCGGAGAGTACACTCTATGATGCCTCCCACGCAGCCCTCGAAAGTGGCGAAGGTTTCGCAGATCGCAGCCCCCCCCAGGGACGGCGAGGTCTAATCTGAATATGCGGCGCTATGCTGCCCCCCTCCCCCCCCCCAGCAGCCCTCGAAAGTGGCGAAGGTTTCGCAGATCGCAGCCCCCCCCAGGGACGGCGAGGTCTAATCTGAATATGCGGCGCTATGCTGCCCCCTTGCCCCCAGCAGCCCTCGAAAGTGGCGACAGTTTCGCAGATCGCAGCCACCCAGGGATGGCGAGGTCTAATCTGAATATGCGGCGGGTACCCACTATGCTGGCCCCCACGCAGCCCTCGAAAGTGGCGACCGTTCTGCAGATCGCAGCCCCCCAGGGATGGTGATGTTAGAGGCGGGTGCGAGAGAGATGCGAGACAAGAGGAGAGATAGAGAGAGGGGGAGATAAAACGAATACGGAGAAGAAGAATAATAAGAGGAATCATAGTAATAAAATAATGATAATAATCAGAGTGAGGGGGCCGAACGGTCACTCATTGTCCCTGGGTGCGTGGCTGAAGTTGGGATCCGGGGTGAGGATTATGCTTGTTGCGTTGTGTGTGTTGCTGCTGTTGTTGATGGTGTTGATGTTGCTGTTGTTGTTGGGGGTGCTGAGTGCTGTGTGTTTGCTGTTGTCGTCCCACCCGCGACCCACCCCGCGACCCACCCCGCGACCCACCCCGCGACCCATCCGCGACCCGCCCGCGACCCACCAGGCGACCCATTTGCAACCCAACAACGACGCACCCGCGACCTACCCGCGACCCATTTGCGACCCACCCGCGACCTATCCACATTGGTTTAACGAAAAGATCGGCGCCTGCGGCAGGCTCGTTGATAATGTGTAACACAGTTGGCGCCTGCGGCGGGCTTCTGCGGGCTTCTCCAGAGTCTCGCAAACTGCCGACGCCCCCTCCGCCCCCTCAATCTTATCCGCATCTGCGGGGTGCTACGTAAGAGGAGGAGAGGAGGAGGAGGAGGAGGAGGAGGAGGAGGAGGAGGAGGAGGAGGAGGAGGAGGAGGAGGAGGGGAGGAGACGGGAAGGAGGAAGGAAGGAGACGCCACCACAGTGCGTTATCCAACACGGGAACCCAACGCAGGAGGGTTGGAACAAAAAGAGAAGCGTATAGACTCTTGAAATATGAAGGCGCCTGAAGTACATTGGTTTCTGGACGCTCCCACCCCCTTGAGCGATCCGCCCCTGCTGGAGCCGCCGAGCTCTGGCGGGCCACCGCTCCTCCTCGGCCATGCACCTGCCGTTGGAGTCGGAGCCGCTCGCCTGCAGGGCGGCGTAGAAGCACCTCCCGGGGAGGCCGCCGTCGTCGTGCGACGGACGGCCTGGTCGGCATCCTCCCCGCCTGCCTCGCCCACCGCGAGGGGATCGGGGGGGAGGAGGAAGAGGAGGAGGAGGAGGAGGAGGAGGAGGAGGAGGAGGAGGAGGAGGAGGAGGCGGAGGAGAAGGAGGAGGAGGAGGAGGAGGAGGAGGAGGAGGAAGAGGAGGAGGAGGAGGAGGAGGAGGACGGAGGGGGAGCTGGAGCGGAGGAAGGCAAGACGAGGAGGAGGAGGAGGAGGAGGAGTGTCTGAAAGTAAGGTTAGGATGGAGACCCTTACAAATCTTGTTCCATGCGTCAGAGTTGTACGCTGAAACTTTCTGACCTGGACACGTTTTGTTGAGTTCTGCTAAACGGGCACCACTAGTGTATCTCTGGCACACAGTACAAACGACGACAAACGACCCGTTCGAACAATCCAGGAGAATACACTTGTGGTTCAAATCCCTAAGCCGCCGAACGTCAACTTTCAAGGACTCAGAACAGTGGCCAGGGGCTGGAGCTTTGTCAGCGGCATTGCGTGACGTCCTGAGGCACCCTTGGCAACTCCAAAAACGCTGATCCCCTCCTGGCGGACCCAGCCACTCCCACCGATGGGGCGTAGCAGGAGCGCGAGAGCAAGGAGCAGGCGGAGACCAAACGGCACGGGAGAGGTCCGTGCGCGGCCAGAGAGGCAGCAACGTGGCGCACAGCTTGACCGCCATGAGGGCCGAATTAACGAGGACAGTGCAATCGTTGGCTACCTCGTCCGAAGGCGCCTGGTGGGAGTCAGCTCCCAACTTGGCAGCTCTGTCGGCGAAGTCATTTCCGATTCTCCGAAACCGTTCCTCGTCGTCGATCTCGGGATCATCGATTGAAAGGTGAGCGGGCACTTTCACACATCCAAGCGTCCATTTTCCCCCCAGAGAACGACCCTGCGTCAACAACCCCGCATATGGACACTTGGGAGAAAGTTGCTCGTGTCGGGCCATGCCGTGCATCGAAACAACATTCTGGCAATCAGAATAAAGAATTGCTGGCGCGGAAAGAAGAGCGCAAGCCATAGCATAAGCCGAAAATTATCCCGCCTGCGGTGTCTGAGGGCAGCTATCCCAGACAGGCCCCCAACACCACGCCAGGAGGTTCGACCGAGGACCTAGCACTGCCAAGCCCCATCCAGCTCGATTAGAACTGCGAACTACCTGGCGAGAGCACGATCCGTCTAAAAATACGTGGCCCCACATCTGTCGTCGGCCATCGCGAGGCACCTCCATGCCTTCAGCAGCGAAGCCGTCGGGAAAAAACTGAAACTGGATACCATCATCCTCCTCTGATCTACTGTCGGACTTAGGGGGCGGGAGCACACGCTGGGGGTGGCCAAACAAGCCAGAGGTAAGATGGAAACGCTCTTTCTCAGGAACAGCCGCAAACTTCCTCAAAACCTGCTCGAGAACTCTGTCAGGAATCACCGCCCACCTCTCCTCCTCCACCGCGGTACATACATACAGCCGATGAAAGATCGCGTCTCCAGGCTGAAGACACAGCGGGCAAATATCCTCGACTTCGCAGCCTGCTGCTCGAGCGCGGGCGTAGGGCCAGATTCCTTGACAGGCACAACAACGGATCGTTCCTTTTTGGCGAGCCGTAAACTTCTTAGAACGCAGGGCTTTCGTGACGACATCAAAACATAAAGACTCGACCTCATCAGGGCCGCACTTGCGGGCCGCTTCCCTCTCCAACGATCGCCAAACCCCTTCCCTGAGAAAAACTTGGAGGAGGGAGGGAGGGGCGAGGGTGAGGGAATGCTCAACCCCAAGGCCGCTGACCATAACAAAAGGCGAGGGCATACTCCATCCCAGGCGGGCCAAGGAAAGTTTCATGGCCCCGATGGGCCCGCTCACGGTACGCCAGGCCCAAGAACGACCGAACACATCGTGCCACATGTTTCGGAGCTCCAACCAGGAAGAACAAAAATCCGTGACCCTCGTGGCACGAGACCAGATTTCCTCGGCCCACCGAAGGGCTGGCGCGACAGCACCCCACCAAGCGGGGTCGCCTTCAATCCGACTGAGAGTGGTTAAACTACGGCCACCACAGGTAGGCTTCATCGTGGAGGCACAAAGACGTCTAACTTTGGTCAACTCTCCATCACTGGCTCCGTGAACCTCCGCCCCATAATTCAAACCCGCCAGAGGTCCAGCCGAGCAAAGCTTTGTAGCCCTCGGTCCTAGAACTCCTCTTTGACGAGCCAGCCTGCCTGCACGCCTAGAGGCTCTCGCAAAACGCGCCTTCGCTCTGCTGTTGCGCCCTCGGACGCGCCTGGCACAGCCTGCAGTGTCATCAATCCCCAAGTTGACAAACGATTCGGTGAAATCTCCTCCAAGCCCCCCCCCCCCCCAGACGTTTCTGGACATGGCTGGCGATTTCCTTGGACGACGCGACAAGCCCGACTTTGCCAGCGGAAACTTTCGCAAAAAGGACATTGTCGATGATCTCATCGAGGGACTTGGCCGCTCTCGGGAGTTCTTTCATGATGCGCCGAGCAGTCCCGATCGCATTAATCCCTAAGTCGTCAATGTAAGCATCAAACGTGACTCCCTTGGGGACCTCCAGCTGATCGAAACCACGAAGGGGAAATATTCTGATCATAGTGGTGGCGAAACTACACCCCTCTATGATTCCAACTCTCGCGTAAGTAGGAGGCGCAACCACTCCAGCTAGCAACAGCTAGCACCAGGAAGCGGGCAGAACGGTATCCCGCCATGCACACATCGGCGAGCGCATCTGGGAAGCCATGTTGCCTGCATCGAAGTGCCAGAAGTTCGAGAGGGATGCGCTCGTAATATGTGATAAAGTCCCAGAGGAGAGCACAGGCCTGCTGCCCGCAGGCCCGGGGGGACTCCGAACGGGCGGCCTGCCGCCAAACAACATCGCTCGCAGACTTGAATTTCCCCGCCGCCCAGTACTCTCTCTGGCGTTCCCCTTCCCACTCCACCGCGTAGTCTCTCCTGCATTTCCCACGTAATCTGCGCAGACTGGGGAAAACCCCGATGGGGCGGAAACCAGTGGAGGGCTTCGGCAGCATAGCGATAATCACAGCCTCCAGTTGAGGGGGAAGGGTGCCCGTGAGTTCCATAAGCGTGAAAAAAAAACGCGAGAGTGCCAATAAGGCCCCGTCGGACAGCACAGAAAAGTGTCTCATGTGAAACCCATCCAAGCCTGTGGCAGACCTGCGGGCAAAAGTGCGAGAAACCTTACGAATGGTGTCCACCGGGACACAAGGGAGGGGGGCATTCACTTTCCCTGGCCTTTTCTGTGGTAGTGGCAGCCCTTCCCACAAGGAGCGGCAAAGATCAGCTTCGGCGGTGAGGAGCGCCTGCGGGTCCGACACCACACAGCCTCCTGCACTGAGCGTCGCAGAGGGCGACCATCCTTGAGGGTCTTTAGTGTAGCCGTGCGCTCTGCGGCCACCCTGATCAACATTCTCAGCGAGCCAGTCTGCCCAATCTCGTCTGGCCTTGGCCGAGAAGAAGGCACTACACCGTGAGACAAAGTCGGCAACCTGAATCGAGACCTCTTCGACTTGGGCCAACAAAACCTCCTGAGCCTCAAGGAGGCTAGGATCAGAGCCCGACCCCTCCAAGGGGTCCCCCAAAACCTTGAGGTCCGAGATCACCGAGGAGACGCTTTTCAAGACAACTTCCATCCCAGGGAACAGGTTGTCGGGTTTACTCAAACTGGGGGGAGGAGACGACAACAAGCGCCCCACGTCCCGAGCCTGAGGCCAACCCCCCCGCTGCACACAGGAGAGAAGACGTTTGAACTTCGAAGCGAGCCAGCGGCTGGCGCGCAACTGCGGGTACCGAACGCAACCGTGATCTTTGCTGAGGATCGGCCTCCAATGAGTCTTGGGCCCCTTGCCCCTAGTCCCCCAAACTGGAAGTTGAACCCCGAAAGTCCCTGACAGTTCCCGATCAACAAGACCTGCCCAAGATGCGTAAGCTTCGCGAAATAGGCGGGAAGTCACGACCCCATCGCCCCCACGCCTCGCACGAATGAACGCCGCGTCCAGCTGAGCATGCACGCGAGTAAAGTCCATCGGCTCAGGCTGAGGACCGCACGGCACTTCCGATGGGAGCGGAGGCGGGCGTCTGAAAGCGAGGTAGTGCATCTGGGCCAGTCCAGCATGAAATTCGAGGCAAACTGGGCTGTGAGGAAAGAAAGCAGCGTCCTCGAGGACGCGCACCTCGGCGGCGCCCTTGGAGAGCCCAGAAGATGCAACGAAGTAGTCGTAGACTTTACCAGCGCCGGCGTGGCAAGTAGGCTTGCTGGGGTCGATGACTTGACCAACCAGGGTGCTCACGAAGTGGGACTTGGCGAGTTCGGAGGGCCCCATGTTCCAATCCCCCCCGACAAGGAATGGTTTCCCGCAGGTGGACCCTTCCGCCCCTATCGCCGACAGCATTTCGAGGTTGGCTTCTGAGAGCCCTTCCGAGTCGCGCATATGCGCCGAACAAACTTGAAACAAGTCCCCTTGGGGCGCGTGCACCAAGGCCGCGATGGCCCTCTGGGGAGCCAGCTCGAGCCCCGAGGGCGCCAGATGAAGCCCAAGATTCGCGCGACACAGAATAGACACTCCAGCCGAAGGGCCGCCTTCAGGCCCAGTCGTGCCAGGGGTCCAAAGTGATTTGAAACCGAGGCCGGGACAAAAAGCGGAAGCTCTATCCAGAGCCTCTTGAGTCAAAAGCTTGCGCTCTTGGACGAGAAGGACTTCTGCTTCTACACTGGGGAGCCACTCTCTCACCGACCTCCAGGCGTTACCATTAATCGACGCGACCCTGAGACGGAACGACTGGTAGCCTGGAGGTGGCGGAGGCAAAAAGGTGCCTCCAAGAGAAGCGCACGAGTGCCCTGGCTCCGAAGGGTTCTGAACCCTTGCTGGCGCGTTACGACAAATATTTCGAGGCGAAACGAGGGAAAGTAGGGCGCGAGGAGGAGGGGTGCTAGCAGCCTGTACAGACCGTCCAGCTCCCTCCGAAAAAACCGAACTGTCACACATGTCTGGCGTTGCATGCGATGAAAAGTAAACTCCCCCCCCTTCAGGCCTGCTGACCGTCGGGGGGGCTCTGATTGTGCTGCTCACTGTGACGCTCACCCTTGCCGCCGCTGTCCGTCGCCGCCTGCTGCTGCTGAACTCTCTCAGCGACCCGCGCCGCCTGTTCACGTACTCGGCTGACTGGGGCAGCGGGCTGGCTGACGTCGCTGGATGTCGCGTCACCGCTGCCGCGGGCGCCGCCAGCAGGTGGCTCAGCTGCATCTGCGCCTCCCTCGCGGACTCCACCTCCCGCCGACACGGCGCCATCGCAGCCCTTCCTGCGCTTGGTGGCCATGCGCTTGAGGTGCCCGTCGTGCTCGGCTTTGGCAACTGCCGCTCGCTCCATCGCCTCCGCGAAGAGGGCCTTGGCTGCCTTGCCAATGTGCTCTTTGAAGTCCGCCCGACGTCGTTCCACCTCTTGTAGATCGGATTCCTCCATGCCGTCGGCATCGACAGAGAAGAGGCCGCCGTCGTCGATGACGATGTTGGAGACCCGTCCGTCCACGAGGTCTCGCAGGGACAGAGTGGGCCCAGGTGTGGGCTCGGCGTCGGCCGAAGGAGGAACCACCGCACTGTGAAGCTGTGCCACCAGCTGCCGATGTTCCGTGACCATGGCCTCGGATTGCTTCGACAGGTCGTGGATGAGAACTTCCTGAGCCCTGATGCCATCCTGCCACCGAGCCAGCTTCGCCAACTCGGCCTCGAGCCTGCCGTCGAGCTTCTTGATGCGATGATGGAGGTCGCTGACCTGGTCCTGCAAGGCCTTCGGCGGTGGCTTCGCGGCCGCGGCAATGGTGTCCAGCTGGCCCTGGCACTTAGCAGCAGACTCTTGGTCTCCTGCTCGGCGAGACAGTGCAACCAACATCTGGAGCTCCTTGGCGTCCAAAGGGGCATCCTGTCCTCGGCTGCCGCTGCCTGTGCCATGCGCTGCGTTGCCAAGCTGCGGTCCAGGCGGTAGGGCAGACCACTCTCCTGGGGGGTGATACCCAGGCACGCGAGGCTGCCCCTGCTGATGAGACCACACACCGCGAGGAGGAGTATGCTGGCCGACGGTAGGTGCCTGCCTCGATGCGCCGCAATGCTTGCAGTGGGTAGCCCAGACGGTCGTTTTGCCACATCCGCATGCCACGCACTTCCAGCAGTCGCTCCTGCCGCCCGTGCCGTAGCCCTTGCCGCCTGACCACTGGGAGCCTCCGTAGTCGTAGTAGCTCCAGTCCTGCTGCTGCCACCCACGGGATCCGCCGCCACGCCACGGAGGGGAGGAGCCTTGCCCGCCGCCGCCGCCGACCTTGCAGGGGCCATGGGACATCAGTCTGATTGAAGGAAGACTTGAACGTGAAAAGTTGAGAAGCCAAAATTGACCCGCGGATTCCTTGCCGTTCTGAAGTGAGAATCCGCAAGCGCACCTGCGCCAGAACGGCTGGAGGAGGAGGAGGAGGAGGAGGAAGAGGAGGAGGAGGAGGAGGAGGAGGAGGAGCTCCAGCTACGTGGCTTAAGGTCGCCCAGCGTTCAAAAAAAGAGAGAAAACAAAACAAGATGAGCTTCTTGGCTTTTTTGGGGCACTTCTGGGCCGTTTTGGGGCCCTCTTGGGCTGTCTTGGGGCCGTTTGGGGCCGTCTTGGGGCGTCTTGGAGGCCGTTGGCCGTCTTGGCACTCTCTTGGGGGCCTCTTGGGGCCCTCTTGGGAGCCTTTTGGACCCTCTTGGAGGATCACTGGAGAGAGCAGGAGAACCAGACAGCAGGAGCCTGGGCAGGAGCGGCGGCAGGGGGAGCGGCAGCAGCAGGGAGGAGAGGGAGTGGCAGCAGGAGGAGGACAGCGGGGGGTAGCAGCACTGCCAGCAGGAGCGGGGGGAAGACCACGAGTAGGAGGAGCAGGAGACGGCGACGGCGACAACGACGAGGAAGAAGAAGAAGAAGACGAAGAAGAAGACGACGACGACGACGAAGCCGACGACGACGACGACGAAGATCGGGCTCCCCCTCGCGGGCGTGACGAAAACACTGCCATTCATACCCACATTACCGTCCGCGTCCTCATCCAACAACCTCCTCCGTTCTCCTCCTCCTCCTCCTCCTCCTTCTCCTCCTCCTCCTTCCTCTGCTGATGCTGCACCTCACAATCAGCCTATGTGTCCTCATCCTCCTGTGGACTTTGGAATGATGGCGATAGAAGATGAGGAGCAGGAGGAGGAATAGGAGAAGGAGGGGGGGAGAGTAGGAGGGCTCGTCCGTACTCCTCCTCCTCCTCCTCCTCCGCCTCCTCCTCCTCCTCCTCCTCCTCGTCCTCCTCCTCCTCCTCCTCCTCCTCCTCCTGGGGAGGAGGGCCGGATTCGGGGGTTTGGCGCAGGTCGCTGGGCTCGACCTCTGCCCGAAGCTGCCGCAGTAGCTCTCGCAAGTCTCGTGGTGATCCATCGCGACCAAGTGCTTGCACGTTCCGCAGGAGGTCTCCCCATCCTCCCCAGAAGGCAACAGCAAAAACAAAACTGCATGAGCGCTCGCAGGTCAACGCGGAGCTCCAAGAGCTTGCGTGTACACAGACAGTGTTGATGTTATACTCGCTGCGACGGCACTCTGATCTGGCGTGGTGGAACGATCGAGACGGCCAAAGCTTCATCGGAGTGGGCCCGATTGAACCCCGGGACCGCCAAGAACAGCGAAAGCGACGACCCGGGGGGGCCAGGGGTCGAGAAGTCTCTCGAGCCCACGAGGACCTTTTTCTGGCCGCCCCTGTCCGCGGCGGCCCAGATCCGGCGCGGTGGAGCTCCGAGACGGCCCCGTGCTTCCTCAGTGTGGGCCCGTTGGGAGCCCTGGGACCGCCGGCAGCAGAGAGGCGGCCCCCGTGGGGGGAGGGGGCCGAGATCGGCGGCGCGCCGGGGGGGGTCTCGGAAGGCTCGGAAGTCCTGCGGCCTTCTGAGAAGTCGTCTGGGCCTTCCCCGAAGGCAAAGACGACCTCTCAGAGGGCGCGAGGGCCTCTCTGAGAAGCCCCGCCGCCTTCTGAGGAGGCCGCCTCCTTCTCACTTCCCCCGCCCTCGCTCGCTGCCGAGGAAAGAGACGGCCCCGGGGGAGGAAAGGTTCTCTCTCTCTCTCTCTTGGAGGACTGCGTCCGACCCGAACACATCATATGACCATCTTGCAGTACATCGTTTCCCGAGCGGCATGGCCAGAAAGCGCCCGCCACGGAGCCTACTCTGTAAGATATCTCGGCGCGCGAGCGGCCCATTGGGGGGGGGAGCGACGAACACACAGTTCGGGGATGGACAGACCCCCCTTTAGTAAAACGTGGTTTAGTGAAAACGACCTGAGGCCCAAACCTGGCAGGCGCAAACCTGGAAAATAACGGCCACGGCGCCCTCTCGAGAACCGAAAACGGACAATTCACTAATCGACGTGTCACTGTTGGGGGTTCTGTCCACCCCCGAACAGTACTGGTATGTGGGGGTGACGCCGATTTCGAGGCCCACGCCGAGCCTCTCCTGCCGCAGTGCTCCTCCGCGGGTGCTCCTCCGCCCGCCTCTGCCCTCATCCGCCCGCCTCCGCCTTCCGGGGTGGCGAAATCTAAAGCACATCCGCTGCTCCTCCTCCTCCTCCTCCTCCTCCTCCTCCTCCTCCTCCTCCTCCTCCCCCTCCTCCTCCTCCTCCTCCTCCTCCTCCTTCTCTCGTTCCTCCTCTTCCTCCTGCTCCTCCTCCTCCCCCTCCTTATGGCCAGGCCCATCCTGAAACCAGCAGCGGTGTATACGCCACGCCTCACGGCTTGGCCTGGGGGGGCGTATGCACAGCTCCTGGGCCCAGGAAGGGCCTGGCGAGCGAGCAGGGGATGTGTATAGCTTTCGTCGCCCGGCTTCTGGGGGACGCGCCAACATCGTGACGCGGCAGTACGAGATCGGCGCCCATGCACCGTGCCATGTGTGGGCGTGCTTCAGGCCACGCTCTGGCGCGGTTGCTAGAGGCCTCTTGATCCCGAAAGCCTCCGCGAGGCTTCTCGCAGGGAGACCGCTTCTGCACGGGCCTGCCTCCCCTCCCAGTCAGCCCCTTTCTGCCCGCGCCCGTCCTTGTCGGGCCACTCCTCGAACGAAGGGCAGTCGTCCTGAGGGTGCTGACAGCCACAGATCAGATCGTTCGTCGTCTGTGTGTTGGTGCTGCATGCGAAATCCTCCAGCACCTCGCACTCACCGTCGTCGCCACCAGGGCCGTTCTTGTCTTCCGCGGCATAGAAGCACTCCTGCCCGAAGCTCTTGCAGTACTCGCCACAACTCCTGTAGTCGCCATTGAAGTTCACAATGTGTTTGCAAGTCCCACAGTCGGCTTCGCCGTCGATGTGCGGCCACTGGTCCACGGGCTTGCACTTTTTCACGACGCCCTTCGAGAACCGACACCCGCATATCATGTCCTCGGAGCCCGAGTCCATGGACGCGATATCATCGCGGCAGCTCACGACACTCTTGGCCGAGCACGAGGACCGGTCTCCGTTACCGCTGATCTTTACATCCGCGGCGTAGAAGCACTCCTGCGCAAAGCTCGCGCAGTACGTATCACAGCTGCGGAAGTTGCTCAGGGAGACGCGGAACTTGCAGGTCCCGCACTCGTCGGCGTCGGTGTCCCTGTCGGGCCACTTCAGGCGGTCCTTGCAGGTGACCGTGTCCGCCTCTATGTCCAGCGGGGCAACATCGGTTCCATGAATCGGCGCATCCCCATCCACCGCTCCTTCAATCAGCAGCACAACGTTAGATCCGCGACCGTAGGCGTTCTTGAGGGGCCACTTCACAATGATCGATGGCTGGGTCTGCAGCCGGCGAATGGTCGTGGCCGCGTTCTGCGTGCCAGCTCCAGTTCCGATCGAGACGACGACCTGAGTCTCGTAGAAATCGCCCATTGATATCTCTATGTAGTCTCCTGGCGCGAAGTGCTGAGTATCCGTCACAAAGATGGTAGTGTCCCCCAATGATGCGTCCTGGGACAAGGTGGTAGCTTTTGCGATGTCGCGCACAGCACACTGACAGATGAGGTCCGAGGTATCAGGGAACGCTGCCGCACACTCCAACTCCTGCTTCTCTGTGCAATCGTCGTCGACTTCCTCGGCCGCCCTCATGCACGCTAGGTTGGAGTCCTTGCAATATGAGTCGCACGTCTTCCCCGACATCTCACCCGCAAGCACCTTGCAGCCGTTCTTGCCGCAATCGAGCTTCACATCTGGCAGCAGAGAGCAGTCGGAGGCGCTAGTAACCAGTGGTATGGATGCCGAGGAATCAGAAGACTCTGTCCCGTCTGCTGGCGCTGGCGCTGGCACTGACGCTGGCGATGAAGTGTCTGGGCTGCACTCGCAGATCAGGTCGGAGGTGCCCGGATACACCTGCAGAACAAGAACAAACTACGCACGCAAACACAAACTTCCAGAGGTCCGCGCGGATTCCTTGGGTCGGCGCAGGACCCCCCCACACATCAGGCGCACGAAGCTCGCCAAAGGGGAAGCCCAGCGCCCACCCGCGAAATCCGCGCGGACCTCCGACAGTGCATGCTTGGTGCCGGTCATTCTTCTTCGAACCTGGTCGCACGTCAGGGTCTCCTTCTGAGGCCGTCGACAGGGGGGAGCAGCTGAGAGTCGGATGTTGCTAGAAGTGCCCCTGGCCCAAGGTGCCCCCAGGATTTCCAAGGAGGCCCCCACGGCCTCCTGAGCACCCCTCGCGAGGCCCAGGGGGCCCCAGGGCCTGCGAAATGAAGCGAAAAGCTGGGGGCACCTTGGGTGAGGGGGCACCTCTAGCAACCCCCGAGAGAGGGGGGGCAGCGAATCTGCGGCACGCAGCTGGCTTCCCTGGCGCCGGAGTCGACCACGCCTCAAGAAGGGCGCCCGGCGGCGGGGCCAAAACCAGCGGCGTGCAGCAGAGTTCGCCCTCACCCCATGCCCCCTTCCCCCCCCTCTCGTTCGCCCTAAGAGTAGCAGAGGAAGAGGCGGGGGGGCGGGGGATGAGGCAGGAAGGGAAGATCGAGCTGGGAGCCTGGGGGCGGAGGGAGGGAGGGAGGACCGACAAGCGAAGGAGGGGGGGAGGAGGGAGGGCAAAGAGGGACGAGCGTGGGGGGACGACGCAGGAGCGTGGAGGACGTCTGGCCGGATCCTTCACAGCACAGTCGTTGTTCACCTCCTCCCAGGAGCTCACGCAGGTACGGCCCGCCTCCGCCGGAGGCTCGACAACACGCAGGAATGGCCCCAGGCAAGAGTGGCCCTTGGTGCGCGGTTTCAGGGGCGCGGGGGAAGCGAGCCGCACGCGAGCGCGCAGGCCGCTGATGTCGCATCGCACTCAGCGACCGTGGGGCCGTAGTGGGCCCGCACCAACGGTCCCTCCAGCAAAGGATCACTCTTACGTGTAGCCGAGGAGCACAGACGCGCGCGGGGACTGCGCCGACGACGACGACGACGACGACGACGACGACGACGACGACGACGACGACGACGACGACGGCGGCGGCGGCGGCGACGGCGACGGCGACGGCGACGGCGGCGACGGCGACGGCGGCGACGGCGACGACGACGACGACGACGACGTCGACGGGGGCGGCGGCGGCGGCGGCCCAGGCAGCGGAGGCGACGCCGCTGCACAGGAGGGGTCACCTTCTTGCAGTAGTCGTCGCAGCTGCGGCCCGTCATCTGGTCAGTGAGCACCTCACGATCGCCGCCGGCAGCAAGCGAGGCAGACAGGATTACAAGCTGGGAATCCAAATCAGGGAGCAGAAAGATCAACCTCATACTAAACACTCCGACAGGCAAAGCCTCTGAGTAAACTAACCCACGGAAAGGAATCGAACAGGGAAAGGCTGTTCGGTGAACGCCCAGGGCCGTTTAGTAAATGCCAACAGTGAGGGCAGGCGTGATTTTCCACCCTTTGCTAATCCCAGACTCCTGGCGGACAGAATCCCGCCAGCCATCTGGGAGTTCGTTTTCCAACCCCATTCTTCCCCGTGCCCCCTCCCCTGGGTCTGGCCCAGGGGGTTCGCGACGCGCTAGGGCGCCCGAGATGGCCCAAGATGCTCCCAGATAGCCACAAATGCCCCCAAAGATAATTCAAGATAGCCCAGGATTGTTCAAGATAGCCTCCAACATGCATCCGCGAAGCCCCAAACGGCTCATAAACCTCAGACGCGCCAAGTGGCCATGGAGCCTCCCAAGGACACCCCCAAGAGGCCAATCTGCTTCCAAATCTGTATAACATTCATGGATTGTGCCCTCTCACACTGTCGCTTCAGATTGGCTTCTGAGGCCTCAAGATGGCTCCAAGATTGCCCAAGAGAGACCCAAGAGGGGCGAAGAAGACTCCAACACAGACCCAATAGCGCCCAAGATCTCCCCGAGAACGTCCCGAAGGGTCCCCAAAAGGTCATGTTTCGACATCCGACTGTTGGGGAAGGGGGGTATTCAAAAAACCTCCCTTCGCTCGAAGACCGCGTCTTTGAACAAGATCTGGAAAGCGCCTGGACCAACACGGCTCCAAAGTGGCTTCAGGTAGCGCAAGATAGCCTCCACGATGACAAAAGATGGCCCAAGATGGCCCAAGGGGGCCTCCGACATGCCTCCAAGAGGCCCCAAGACGGCCCTGAGACGGCTCCGAGTGATCATGGAGCCTCCGACGGACGCCCCCGAGAAGCCAACATCTGTCCAAAACTTGAGGACAATGTATGTGATGGGCCTTCTCGCCGTTTTGCTTCCGATGGGCGCCAGAGGCATCAACATGTCCAACATTGCTCAACAGAGTCCAAAGAGGGCCCAACAAAGACGGCGACCGCTATAGACCCGCCGAAGCGAGTCCCAAGGGGGGGCCAAGAGAACATAGCCTCCAGGGTGGCCCCAAGGGAACGCTCAAGGCCTCCAAGAGGGCCCAAAGTAAGGAAACCCCAAGAGAGTCTCATAGGTCACCAAGCTGGCCCAAAGAGGGATCCAACATTCCCCAGGTAAGCTTTTAAGAGGCGCGTCCGATGCTATTTCGATGAGGTCGTTCCGACAATGGGGAGCGCAGTGGTGGCGGTCTCCACTTGGGTCGACGGGGTTGGGATCTGAGGGCGACGACCTGTGCCTTAGTGTGTTATGCAGAGGCAACTGCGATGGCCCATGTCGTGTTGGCTCGGGGAGGAGGGACTCGGACGGGCCCCAGGTGTCCTGCCTTCACCCCAAGATGGCCCTGAGACCGCTAGCAAGCCCCAAGCATTGCGCCCAAGAGGCTCAGGAGGCCCCAGGAAATAGGTCACCCAAGAGACCCCAGGAGGCCTCTATGAGGACTTTGGGCCCCGACCCAGGCACGCTGGCGGAATCATCCGAAGACCAACATCCGCCTCCTCCTCCTCCTCCTCCTCCTCCTCCTCCTCCTCCTCCTCCTCCTCCTCCTCCTCCTCTCGAGCCTCAAGACGGGCCACGAAGCCCCCAAGAGGCCTCCAAGACGGCCCACGAAGGCTCCGAGAAGCCAAACGACCGTTCCAAGACGCCCACGATGGCCCCAAGACGGGCCAAGAGGTCTCCAAGACGGCCCCCGAGGTCCCAAACAAGCCTCCCAAGAGGGCCCCAAGAGTCTAAAATTGTTGATTTTCCATAGTGTGTTTCGATGTGTTTTGCTTTTCCGCCTTTTCGGCTTCCCGACGCTCCAAGACGGCCAAAGAGGCCCCAAAGACAGCCCCAAGATGGCCCAAGAGGCCCCCAAGACGGCCTCCAGACAGCCCAAGACGGCCCCAACACGGCCCAAGAGGTCCCCAAGACGGCCCAAGAGGGCTCCAAGACGGCACCACGAGGGGCCCAAGAGGGCGACCAAACATGTTGAAACTCTAGCTTTCTGCCCCCAGGAGCCCCAGGGGGCCCCAAGAGTGCCCCAAGAGGCCCCCAGAGGCCCTCACGAGGCCGCCCAGACGCCCCAAGGAACCCCAAGAAGCACCCCAGAGGCTCCGAAACGGCCCCCGAGTGGCTCCAAAACTCGCAGTGTCGCTGTCCGCTCGGACCTCCCCGCGGAACTGCCCGAGACCCTCTGGCGGTGGCGGCGAACAGACACCAAACAAATATCACTCGCCTTTTCGCCCCTTCGCAGCTTCTACTACCCCCAGATTGGCATAAACAAGGGGTCGGCGGTGTGGCGTAAGCCTAAGAATCATCCGAAGACCAACATCCGCCTCCTCCTCCTCCTCCTCCTCCTCCTCCTCCTCCTCCTCCTCCTCCTCCTCCTCCTCCTCCTCCTCTCGACGGGGAAGGGACACATGGAAAGCGTTTCCTCTCGACGTAATGATCTCGTCTTGTGGTTAACAGACGACGCCCCCGCCCCTCCCCATGGGGCTCATGAATAGACCCAGCGGGGCCCGAAGCAATGTTTGGAATCACGCGCGTCAGGGAATCGTCACGGGCGCCGCCAAGGTGATCGGATCGTGCACCCCCTTTGCACGACCGCATCAAAACGATTGCGTTGCGTAGTGAAGCTGTTATAGAGATCGTATACATCCGAGACTAAGCTTTTCCCCCTCTCAGGCCGCTTCACCGCCGTCGTTGTAGTTGTCGTGGTCGTCGCGTAATCGTCGTGATCGTCGTCGTCATCGGCTTTGTCGTCGTGGTCGTCGTCTTCGTTTTCGTCGTCGTCGTTGTCGACGACAGCGGGCCTACGTAGCTCCCCCCCTGGGGCATCCGCAGTGAGTCGTTGTCGCCGTCACCGTCTCCGTCGCCGTCGCCGTCGCTGGCGCCGTCGCCGTCGTCGTCGCCATCGCGGTCGCGGTCGCGGCAGTCGCCGACGCCTTCGCATTCGCCGTCGTCGTCGTCGCCGCCGTCGTCGTCGTCGTCGTCGTTGTCGTCGTGGTCTTGGTCGTGCTCGTCGTCGTCCTCCTCCTCCTCCTCCTCCTCCTCCTCCTCCTCCTCCTCCTCCTCCTCCTCCTCCTCATCCTCCTAACCCTCCTCCTCCCTCCTTTCTCGTCGTCCCCCTCCGTCCCCCCTCCTTCTCCTCCTTGCCCTCGCGGGCGCGGAGGATAAGGAGGGGGGACGGAGGGCGCTTTCCCAAACCAATGCGAGCAAGCCCGCCGCAGGCGCCGATTTGCGTGCTTTGACAAGTTCAGCGCCAGGGGGATCGCTGGTGGGCCACCCGGAACGAATGCAAAAACAGCCCGCCGCAGGCGCCAAATTTTGGGCTTGCC